ATATATATATATATATATATATATATATATATATATATATATATATATATATATATATATATATATATATATATATATATATATATATATATATATATATATATATATATATATATATATATATATATATATATATATATATATATATATATATATATATATATATATATATATATATATATATATATATATATATATATATATATATATATATATATATATATATATATATATATATATATAAATGTTTGCATATGTGTATTTGTGTGTGCATATATATGCATGTGTATGTATGTGTCTATACATGTGTGTGTGTGTGTGTGTGTGTGTGTGTGCGCGCTTGTATTTTTTGTGTGTGCATATGTGTATTTGTGTGTATATATATATGCATGTGTATGTATGTGTCTATACATGTGTGTGTGTGTGTGTTGTGTGTGTGTGTGTGTGTGTGTTGCGGGTCAGTAGCAGATGTTGCAGCAGATGTTAATAAAGCGTCTGTCTTTCTCTCTCCAGGTGTTTTAGTTACTAACAAGTGCAACTTCACAAATTAAGAACAAGTTGTTGTTTTCTTCACTTCTTCACGTCAGTAGTGTGAACACACACACACACAGTGAGAGAAACACACAGGTGTAAAGCGCGCATTACCTGTGCTTTACACTCATCACACTGTTCTCTTACAGTATAGCAGGAATATACAGCTGAGCTATTCACCTATCTCAAATGATGTTGAACAGATTCAGGTATTATTCACAGTATTTCCTCTAATATTTGTTCTTCTGGAGAAAGAGTGATTGTTTTATTTCGGCTAGAACGAAAGCAGTTCTTAATTATTTAAACCATTTTTAAGGTCAATATTATTAGCCCCCTAGAAGCTGCTGTATATAAGTGTTTGACTGCTTTAAAGTATATAAACAGCATCATATGAGTGCAGATGTTTCAGAATCATGCTCAGTGAGCTGTCTTGATCATCTGATAAACAATGCTGGAGTCAGATCTTCTGCTGTTAGCGTGTGTGTTACGTGCCGGAGCGGCTGTCTTTGTTTTGGTCATGTAACCTGCTCAATGCCAGTGTAGCCAATTATATTTCAGCAGCCGGGTTGCCAGAGAGTGGAAAACAGCGTATTTATTTATTCAGTCAGGAAGACTCTCAGAGCATGCGTCTGTGACTGAAATGCGCCCTCTGGTGGACAGTAGCAGACTCTGAAATGAGACGCAGATTCAGAGTTCCACATGAGGTTATTAATCAGCAAATATTATAAATAATACGAGTGTAAACATTAGGTGAGCAGGTCACGTTGTAACCTCGAGTCCTAACAACACACTACTTGACGAGATACACAGTGATGAGCAGTTTGGCTGTTTGTGCCAGACGACTCTAATGAAAAATTCAGCTTAAACCAGCCTAGGATGGTTGGCTGGTTTTAGCTAGTCGACAAGGGTTTTAGCCATTTTCAGGCTGGTTTCCAGCCATTTCCATCCTGGTCTAAGCTGGTCAGGCTGGAAGATAACCAGCTAAAACCAACCTGACTAGCCACGCTGGTAGCCCAGCTTAAACCAGTCTGGTCAAATTGGTTTTAGCTGTCATTTTCCATTTACCAGCTAAGACCAGGCTGGAAATGGCCAATACCCCTATAGAACCAGGCTGGACAACCAGCTAAATTCAGCCAACCAGCTTGGGCTGGTTTAAGCTGGATATTTTTAGCAGAGGAAACAGAACAGAAATGTAAACACAGCCATTCAGCAGCACAGAATAGAGCACTCACTGCACTCCAGCACAATAATAAGCTTTATAATCTAATGAACACACATTACAGCTCTTCAACATGATTAAATGTAGATGCTGAATCACTGATATGTGTTGGTTTGCACTGAGTCTCAGCTCTTAAGTTTCAGGCTGTTTATTCATTTAGCATTCAGACTCACATAATTAGCTTTTAACAGTGAATAAAGCACATGAGCTGTACCTGAGCTGATCATGTTAACCTGTTGTTCAGCTGTGAGAAACAGAGGCCGTTTCTACGATAGAAGTTTGGACAAAAACTACTTTTATTATGGAAAATATTTCTTCTGTCGCGTGCCGTTGCTTTTAGTTAGATCACGGTTCAAATGAGCCTTAAATCAGCCTTTAAGCTTGACAGTCAGGCACACTGCTTTTGATGTTGTCAATCTGGCAACCTGCTCTTGCATGTGTTTTAAACCAGGAGTGCAATACCGAGTTCCACCACTGAGTGTCAAACTTGCATACTGCACCTTCAGCAATATTAGTGTTGGATTGTCTCCAGAACAAACCACTGTTATACAATGACTTGCCTAATTACCCTAACTTTACCCTAATTACCCTAGTGAAGCCTTTACATGTCACTGTAAGCTGAACACTAGTGTCTTGAAGAATATCTAGTCTAATATTATGTGCTGTCAACATAGCAAAGATAAATTAAATCAGTTATTAGAGATGAGTTATTAAATCTATCATGATTAAAAATGTGTTGAAAAATCTCTTATAATTTTTGGGGGGAAAAAATAAAAGAATCTTCAGCTGTATTTACATTTGTTCAAATACAGTATTAAAAGGTAAACAGTTGTAAACGCTAAAACTGAATGTTAAAAAATAATAAAAATGTCAATTATTTTTAATATTTGTTGAAATATATTAATTTTCCATGATCAAAGTGTTTATTTTCCAGTCTCAGAAACACAATACGATGATGATGATGATGATGATGATGCAGAAGTCAGAGAATGAGATAACAGTAATGATGCATAACTCAGCAGCTGCATGTTATATAATAATCATAATCAATTCCTGGTTAACGCTCTGCTGGTTTAATGTCATTTGCATAACAGTCATTCATTAGGTTTGGTAACCCGCCAAACTAACGAGGATCTGGGTCGTCACACAGACTCGTGTTAATAATACAGCTATTGTGCAGATAACAGTGTGTGTTTTTCAGCGCATGCAGACAGTGTTGCACAACAAATACACTATTTATTCAACAGTATAATGTATGGGGATAATGAACATGCATAGTTGTAATCTTTGGTACTTCAAAATATAGGGAATAATTGTTTATTAGTGTCTTTTAGGGCGACAAGGTGTTTCAGTGGTTAGCACTGTCGCCTCACAGCAAGAAGGTTGCTGGTTCGAGCCCCATTGGCATTTCTATTTGCAGTTTGCATGGTCTCCCTGTTTAATTTCAATCATCAAATCTATTCTGCATGGAGAAACAAGCTGATCTTCATCACACACACACTGTGTATGTTTGAGTTTTCCCTCATCAGTGTGCAGTATTTCAGCAGTGTTCACTCAATGGACAACACTCGACTCTCACCACAGTAAATGGGGATTTTATAATGATAAAAGTACCTGCAGACGTGTAAAAGGTGTTTAGCAAGACCGAATTCATGAGAGAGAGAGAAAGCAGCAGATTATCATAGTGTGTGTTTGGGTGTGTGCATGTGTGTGTTGCAGCCTAAATGTGTTATTGCCCTTTTTTATAAATTATTTTCCTAATGTGTGGGTCATTTTGAGGTTTGTTTACTTTAATAAAAAAAGTAGTGATTAAATCCTAGCCTAGCAGAAACAGACCTTTTTTTTATTTGACTAAAACAGCCTATTTATTTATTTATTTATTTATTTATTTATTTATTTATTTATTTCATAACATTTTATTGTATTTAATTTGAAACAACCCATTTTATTTATTTATTTATTTATTATTTTATTTTAAGAAACAACCCATTTTATTTATTTATTTAATGCTATTTAATTTAAGAAAGAACCCTTTTTATTTATTTATTTATTGTTATTTAATTTGAGAAACAGCCTATTTTATTTATTTATTTATTTATATATTTATTATTATTTTATTTTAAGAAACAACCCATTTTATTTATTTATTTAATGCTATTTAATTTAAGAAACAACCCTTTTTATTTATTTATTTATTGTTATTTAATTTAAGAAACAGCCCATTTTATTTATTTATTTATTTATTTAATGTTATATATTTTAAGAAACAACACATCATATTTATTTATTTCATAACATTTTATTGTATTTATTTGAAACAACCCATTTTATTCATTTATTTATTTATTTAATCATTTATTTATTTTATGTTATATAATTAAAAAAAACAATGCATTTTATTTATTTATTTATTAAATTTAAATTTAATTTGAAACAATCCATTTATTTATTTTATTTAATGGTATTTAATTTTAAAAAAAGAAGCCTATTTTATTTATTTATTTATTTATTTATCACATTTTATTTAATTAGAAACAACCCAATTGTCTTAATTAATTAAAACATTTTTTTACATTTTACTTTTTTTATTTGAAACAGCCCTTTTCATTTTTTTATTTTTGTTACTTATTTTCTTTATTTATTATTATTTTTTCCCTATCATTTCCTCTGAATTTCTTTTTTCCTTTCCCCCATATACAGTTTATGATGTAAAAAAATTGTTGTAAAAACAACAACGTATACACTTGTAAAAGTTTGTATCTGAATTTTTCTGCTAATGTAAAAAAATGTATGAAGATAATGTTAAAAATAAAAATGTGTCTACAGCATAAAAACTAAACTAAAACTGACACAACCATTAATGAAACTAAACCGAACTAAAACTCATTCTGAACTAAATGCAAAACTATAATAACCTTGATTTTGATCATGAATCTGGACTCACCCCGGGGTGTTTTTTAGCCTGCCGGTGCATCATTCTGAGGATCTCCATCTTCAGCTTTCAGAAACAAACACACACACACTGTAAACACTCAGAACACACACACACTTTTAACACTCTAAACGAGAGTGAACCAGCAGAGATGTGTTGAGTGGGCAGGTCAGTCTGTGATTGACAGTTTCTGTTGACCTATCAACACGCAGAGAGTCAGAGCATTCAGACTGCAGGACAAAACTTTGAGTTATCATGTTAGTTTGTTGGGCTGAAAAAAAAATTGTTTAAAAATTTAGGATGATTTGTGCAAGTGTA